GTCTACTGCTATTGCTATTGCTATTGCTATCTTAATCTCTTTTATTTTCTCTGTGACAAATTGTTTCTTTGATACAAAGCCTTGGTTTACTTATTGAGAAATGAGTGCATTGTTTATAGTGTGTGGCCTCTAAGTCAACTTCTTCCTGATATTTGTATTTAAATAAGCCCTCAGAGGCCTGGTTGTTCTCTGACCCTTGGAATAGAGTGGTTGATGGATTCCCTGTATGGTGTTTTGATTACATTGGCATTGTTTTTCTCAACTTTGTTTTCTAGGTTATATACTTTGGGACTTTTATTGTTTTATGCTGAAAGTCACCCAGAATTATGTTAGATTGGGGGGTAGCCTGTAAAATAAATAAAAAGAAAGAAAGAAAGAAATGCATACATACATACTGATTTCACACTAGTTATTTATGAAAATTTAAGCTAATATTCTTTCTTTCTCAACCTTTCTGAATGTTTCAACTGTTCAAACGTCTCCAATTTTTGGCGACTTTATAGGCAAGTGCTCTCCAAGCTACCCTGTCAAGCACAACTTCTTTCAGTTGTTGGATGTTCATCTTTGTATCAGTTTTGATTGTTATCAGACCAGCTCCTTGCTTGCCCTTTCTTCTTGTTCCACTAACCATTCCTAGCATCACTGATTTCTCCAGTGAAGTTGCATTCATGATATGATCAAAGTAAATCAGATGTAGTCTTGTGACAATTGGCTTCTAAGGATGTTTCTAGTTTTATACGAATCAGCACTTCTCTTTTGATTGCTCTGGCTGCCCATGGTATATGCAGCAATTTACACATCACCACCACAGTGTGAATTTTTGATCAGTCATTCTTAGCGTCCAGCTCTCACACCCATACTAATTATAGGGAAGCAAAGCTATTGATATAAATATAAAAAGCAGAAGCTAGTTAGAGCACGTTTACCAGCTCTAACTAGCTTCTGCTTTTTATATTTATATCAATAGCCTTGCTTTTTCAGATTAATTTATGTTAATTGTTGCAGTGTGGCCTGTGGTTATCCTGTTTTTGATTTCAGAACTGCCATAATGAACAATTTTTGATCCCAGGAAGATAAATTCTCAAACTAATTCAATTTTAAACATCTCATGTCCATTTCAGCTGTTGTCATTATGTTTGCTTTCCTGATACTAAGGCACAATCTTGCTTTTTCACTTTCATCCTTGATTTTCCAGATCATTTTTCCAGCTCTTCCTTATTGTCAATCAATAGTGTTGTATCATCTGCATACATCAAATTATTTATGGTTCTTCCCCCAATCTTCACTCCAACATCAGGCAGTTCCAAATCTAATTTCCACATGATCACTTTAGCATACTGATTGAACAGAAACAGTGCCCCAATATATCCCTGTCTAACTGCCTTACTGATGCTGAACCAATCTGTGTCGCCATAGAGTATTCTCACTGTTGCATCCTGATCAGTATGCAGTGATCTGATAAGTGTGATTAAGTGAGTTGGGACACAAGATCACCCAAAGATGCCCAGAGCTTATTGTGTTCTACATTGTCAAAAGCTTTCCATAATTGATAAAACACATATATAGTTGCTTTTGATATTTACATGCCATAACTGAATATGATTTTGTTTCATTGGGTGATTTTGTTGACCTAGAAAAATTTGAACCAAGGGGAAGATTAAGTCCATGCGGTACAAAACTGTTTAAATATGTGCAAACTAATATTAATGACCAAGTAGTTATCCTTAAAAAGAATGAATATAATTGATACATTACAGATAGCTACTCAATTTCATGTCCAGTTTAGCTTTTAAAAAAATTGTGTCCTATTTTTAGGACAATTCTTTCCCATACTTCTGGGGAAACAGTTTTTTATTCATTTTACAGACCTTGTATGATGAGTTTTATTGTTATATAGCCATGAAAAAGTATTGTTTTCAACTCAGTTTTGGCATAATTAGGGTAGGTATTTCCTAAGTAAGACTTTTTTTTTTGCACCTAAGATGAGATGAGACTTTCAAGAGGGAACTGGAAGGAACAAAAAGATTACAATTAAAGAAGAACATTTAAATTTGACTTACTAATGGAGAATGAAGCAAAATATTTTAAGATTAGACATATTGAAAGATATTTTTGAACAAAGGTAAAGGTAAAGGTTCCTCCGCACATGCGTGCTAGTCATTTCCGGCTCTAGGGGCAGTGCTCCTTTCCATTTCTAAGCTGAAGAGCCAGCGCTGTCTGAAGACATCTCCATCGTTATGTGGCTGGCACACCACTCATCTTGGGCCAGACATGTGTACTAAAGGTTTTGTTGATTCACATGGTTTCAAATGTTAAGGGTATAAAATTAAAGAGGTGTTTCGATGCAGATCCGAGTAACAAAAGATTAATGTAGGTATAAGGTAGAGGTAAAGATTCCCCTCGCACATATGTGCTAGTTCTTCCCAACTCTAGGGGGCGGTGTTCATCTCCGTTTCAAAGCTGAAGAGCCAGCGTTGTCCGAAAATGTCTCCGTGGTCATGTGGACTGCATGACTAAATGCCGAAGGTGAACAGAACACTGTTACTTTCCCACCAAAGTGGTCCCTATTTTTCTACTTGCATTTTTTACATGCTTTTGAACAGCTAGGTTGGCAGAAGCTGGGACAAGTAATGGGAATTGACTCCATTACGCAGCACTAGGGATTCAAACTGCTGAACTGTCAACCTTCTGATCGACAAGCTCAGCGTCTTAGCCACTCAGCCACTGCGCCACTGCGTCCCTTATTAATTTTTTAAAAAACTTTTTAAAAAAGTGAAGTACAATAGAACAAAAAAGTATTAAATATAATTTAACTACAATTTTAATGTTATTCAATGCAACTACTATTCAAATATATATGCATTTCTAAAACATTTATGTAACTATCATTTTTAACCTATTGTATTTGATATAAATGAGCCCTTTATTTTATTATATTTGTCCATACAAAGTTACATTTATAGGCAATCCACTCATATGAAGATCTATGAGGCAGTACATAATTTAATTAAACACAGATTAGTTTTATTTGCAATTACATTATTTTGTTTATTTCTAAATGTCACACTACTATCTCAGTATTCATGCAAAAGATGGATGCATTATTTTGTAGTATTTTGTATTAACTGGTCCAAATAGGAACTGATGACCATACGTGAAAATCTGGTAACCTATTTAAGGAATATAAAATCCGAGTTGGTTCTGAATCCATTAAGTATCTTGGTATATCTATATCTTAAGATATAATTCAGTTAGCAACATATAATATAAATAAAATAGTGAAATTTCTAAATTATTGATAGATGGAAGACACTAAAGGTGGACATTCTCAAAATGAATGTTATTCCTAGACTAATTTATATTCTGAGAGGAATTCCAGCTATATATCTGGTAAATATTTTCAGAAAATAATATCTTTGTCTAGAAAATTTCTATGGCATTCTTAATTGGTGGTTTTAATATTAAAAAAAATTGAAACAGCTTTCAATTTATTTAATTTATTTAAAAAAATTAATTTAAAGGAATTAATTTCTTTAAAAAGAAATTAACAATCATTAGCTAAGTAACCTCCAAACTGAGAGACATCATGACAGCAGGATTAATTTCTTGCCTTCTCATCCTGCTTATGGACTTCTCTGTGACTTGGTTATATTGGAAATGGAGGGACTGTCATTTATTTGAAGCTGCAAATGCAGTTGTCTGTGTCTGGAAGATAGATTTAATTATGTGGATAAAGAGAGAATAGCAAAAAAAAAATGTTATGATAATAGACACTAATTATCAATAAATAATTGAAGGATTTAGCTAGGAAGGCGTTGACTTCCTAGTTAGTTATAAAAATAAAAATATGGGATATAATAAATAAAAAATGAACTAATTATGGTACATGCTCAAGATATTCTAATTTATCAGTGGCATATAGATATGTGCTATAATGGTTGATAGATTTATATAAATTTCTCCAGATGGTGGATTTGAGGACGCTGATTAGCAATGACATGTATATAATTACAATTCTTTACGACCAGTTGTTTAACAACAGTTTGGCATTTAAACAGTCTTGAGAAGTGTAAAGCACTTCCAACTGATGTAAAATGCCACAACTTCTCCCATGGTCACATGACCACATTTTCAGATGCTTGGCAACCGACTTACATTTACAATTAATTGCAATATTCCACAGTCACATGACTGCGATTTGTGGTTTGTTTGTTTTTGTCAGTTTCCAGCAAAAAGTGCCCATTCAGTAGAATGGATTTTGCCTTACAACCATGTGATTTGTTTCACAACCACCATAACAATAGTTGTAAAATGAGGTCTAGTCATGAGGGCGTTTCAACTTACAATAATCACAACTTACAATTAAAATTCCAGCTCCAATTGCAATTGTAAGTCGAGGATTTTACGTTGATTTGACTCAGCAGCTAGGACTGTTACTTGACACTCAGAAAGAATGATTGATAAAGGAGGAAATAGATTCTTCTTCAAAAAGATTCTGTGATCTTCTCCTCAAAAAAATCAATAACATTTGAACCCTTGTTTTTACCAGTTTATTCCTAGATTCATTTTAGGAATCGTAACTGCCAGAACGCATTTTCCATCTCCTGGAAGTCTAATAAAATAGTTTTATAATTTAGGTTTGAACCGTATTTTAATATAAGAAAATAATACAGAATAAGGCATAAGAAGGCATGACATTGTTCCAGTGGTCGGTTCCTACCAGTTCGGCCGTACTGGTAGTGGTTTGGTGGCCTGGACTGCTGGAACCCGCAGTGACCCAGGCCTGCCACGCCCCTGAACCGGTTCTCCTGGCGGCACCATGGGTGGCGGCATATTGTTTTTTGCTTCTGAGCATGCTCAGAACAATTTTTATTGCAATGCACCTGCGCAGGCAGCACACCCACGAGCGAACCGGCAGTAGTGACTGCCGGAACCCACCCCTGCATTGTTCCCTGATTAACATCCAAAAAGAAATACCCAAAATTATCCGAAGAGCAGCTGCTCATAGCTTTGTTGGAAATCTGGCTCAGAGCAGTGCCCGAGTACTACTTTTACAGTGTGAGTTTTCATGTTGGTATGCAAGACTTCTGCCAAATGTTTTTGCTCATGTGCCATTTCTCCCTCTTGGTTTCTGTTTTCCTTGCTGCTTGCTGAAGTGAACAAACATTTGTCAGTGATTTGTTGAGCTGCAGTGTGATTGGTGGTAGAAGTATGCTGTAGGATGGCTGTGTGATAAAAAAGTCCAGTCCTTATTTCAGGCTTCACGGTCCTAGTACTTCATACTGGTTGTCTATGATTTAGCTGTTTTGGGAGGTTATAAATAAATTTCAGAAAATTGCTTTGAAAACCTTTGGACAACATTTGATAGTTATGAACAGAATTTCACTGCATAGAATATGTGACTGATATTGGGCCTCTGCTGCAAGCTAAGTATTGGATTTAACTGACTCTAAGATCTCTGGTTGTTGAGCAAAGTGTGTGTCACGCAGTGAAATGATGAAACGAAGAAGAGAGCGATTTGGAGCTCCATCTCTACGCATTCAGTAAGGCTCGTTTTGGAAAATAAATTTCCATATCTTAACTAATCTTATTGGAATATTTGTTCCTGAATTAGTGTTTAAAACATGTTCTCATGTTTTTTAGTAGAAAAAAAGGAGTTTATATACTATTAGTAATACAAGATATTTCCCCTAAAAGAATGCTTTCACCTCTTGAAATAAATATTCTTAATTTTGTTAATCTTTATAATTAATGGAGGAGTAATGTAGAAGTAGTAAAAAATAACCAGTGCTTAATCTAATATTTTATAAAATAAGTCAGTGTATTTGGATTTTTGTATTCATTTGCATAAACTGAATAAATGTTGACTCTTAGGTTTTATATGTTTTAACTCTTATAATCAGTCATATGGCTAATGATTCAAATAAAGTATTTAGTAAAGTAAAAGAAATTGAAACAGCAGTATCAAGACTAAATAAACTTTATCTGCATTTTTCCCAATTCAGATCCTTCAGATAAAGTTTCTCCCTCCCTCCCTCCCTCCCTCCCTCCCTCTGTGTGTGTGTGTGTGTGTGTGTGTATACATACATACATGCATACATGCATACATACATCACCCTTTAGAAATAAGTGAAAATCAGCCACTTTGTCTACAATTGGCCAAACAGTAAGAAAGGTCCTGTTGCAAATGTCATTTTTGCCATCTGCGAGAAAATTGCCTGTAGTTTATTAATTAATTATTTGATTAGAAAAAAGGAAATGGCACCCATTCCTTTGATAGTTCTAAGTGATTTACATGGCATAATAAAAGTGTAACTCAAATTCTATTATCATGATCAGCAACATAAAAAATAATAATATCTACATGTACTTATAGTAAAAACGAGATTTGATTTTTTTAAATTTCTACCAGCAGTTTGTTGCAAACTATGGTCCATGGAGAAAACTGAATTGGTCATGGGTCCAACAAAAGACATTCCACTAAAGACTTAAATATAGTGAATAGACTATGGAGACAGGCACTTTAAAATGTCATTGAATGCAAGTAGATTTATCATTAAAAGTGAGGACAACATAGAGGACTCTTTCATCAGTCTGTAAATTCCAATTCAGTATTGAAACCACTTTTAAGACCTCATGCTTTCATGTGATCAAGCTTTAAGACACATATGGACTAACTGACAAGTCTTTATGTATAGCTTAAGTACTTTTTGTGAACAGTGTCTAATAAGATCTCAAACCTTAAGGGATTGTGAAGATGGAGATACATCTGGTTAGGAGTGGATACATTATTGTCAGGAACATGATTTTGTTTTCTGAAAAGACTAGAGATGTGAGATGATTTAGAAATTGACTCTTTCTGTTGTGGTACTTTATCAGAATCTCCTCTCCTTTCCTCTCCCACTGCCGAGGAAGCGATGTCCATCAACATATGTTCTCCCCTACATCTGCTCCAGGTCTGCAACATCTTAAAATTCCACTTAGTGCTGATTGTGCAACCTCTCCTCTAGTATTTTACCTCAACCCACAACCTCAAAGCAACCCTGGTAGTCCCTGCCACAGCAGTCCACTTCAGTGGAGGTAAGGAGGAACTTACACTGGGAGCGTTTGTGGTTTGGGCATCCTTTTATGTGGAATATTTTAAATATTTTAAAGCACTTTTTAACATTCAAGATACTATTGTATTCACATAGCTAATGCTAAGGTAATGTCCAATTCATTTATCCAGTTGCTCCTCTTATTTTACCAAATAATAAAGGCATCTTGGTCAGTGACGGATTAAAGCTCACTGGTGGCCTAAGCACTGACAAATCTTGGTGACTTCTTCCTTTATACATACTGTACAAATCTTCATTGGTTTTTTTTCTTTCTCAATTTTGTGGTGTCTCCTTTGAGTCTCGTGCCTTAAGCACATGCTTAGTCTGCTTAATGGTTAATACACCGCTGATCTTGGGCCAGACATGTATACCAAAGGTTTTGTTGATTCACATGGTTTCAAATGTTAAAGGTATAAAATTAAAGAGGTGTTTCGATGCAGATCTGAGTAACAAAAGATCAATGTAGGTATAAGGTAGAGGTAAAGATTCCCCTCGCACATATGTGCTAGTTCTTCCCAACTTTAGGGGGCGGTGCTCATCTCCGTTTCAAAGCTGAAGAGCCAGTGTTGTCCGAAGATGTCTCCGTGGTCAAGTGGCCTGCATAACTAAATGCCAAAGGTGCACAGAACACTGTTACCTTCCCACCAAAATGGTCCCTATTTTTCTACTTACATTTTTACGTGCTTTTGAACTGCTAGGCTGGCAGAAGCTGAGACAAGTAACGAGAGCTCACTCCGTTACACAGTACTAGGGATTTGAACCGCTGAACTGCTGACCTTTCTCCTAGGCTCTGCTTGGAGTGTCCAAGCCTGAGTTACCTTCAGCTTGCTGCCCAAGGACTGAGTTCAAAGTTCATGTAGCCACGCCTTCTGCTCCCTTTAGAGGCCAGTTTTTAAAAACTCAGTCGCCCTAAAAGGATGCAGTTGGGTAGCTCCAATCCTTAATTACATGGTTGGACTCTCCAAACAGTAAAATAGTGTCGCCTTTTATTATTTTTGTTCTAGAAATAGCATAGGATTGTGACTACCAGTTGGAATTGCCTTTCCTATTCTCGTGGAGCAGGCTGCTCGGAGTGAGGCTACCTTCCGCATTACCCGCGGTTGAGGCACCACAGCAGCGGGGCTCGTTAGCAGCTGCTGATGAGCCTGGGGCCAGGTAGGTAGTTAGTGGGGGCCCAGAACACTGTCGGAGCTCTCCTGTAGCTGCAGAGGCTGCCAAAGCCCCTCCACGGTTTTTGACAATCCCCGGTGCCGCTCTGAGTCTCGTGGTGGCCATTTTGGACCGTTTGAAAGTGGTGTGAAAATTCCTGGGCCATTTTAAATCGCGCTGCCTGACTCCTGAGCAGATCACTGCTGGGAGGGGTCATTAATTGAAGGACCTTCTTCCAGGTCTCCAGACAGTCCCCCCTCCCCAGGAACAATGTTCCCTAGTGGCTGCAGGGTGTTTTGGTTGTTGTTTTGGCCGTACCCTGCTTTAATTTAAGTGTGGATCTGCGGGTGCTTTGGAATTTTACGTAAGGCGCCTTTTGTCCTGCTTGAACTCTACCTCGCCCAGATAGAGGCCCTTTGCTTGGACTTGGGATTTGAATTGACTATTGCCTTATCACCATCTACAACAATCCTGCAGTTTAGAGTTGACTGGTTTTGCCTCACCTCTTCAGCATGGCATCCACCAGTGCAGCCAAGTAGATAAATCAAGCAGGCTCACCTCCCTCTAAGCGTAGCAGGCCAGGGCCTGCTGCCAAGGGTAAAGGTACCGGGAACCCTCCAAAAGGGAAGCAGCCCAAATCTCTGAAGATGTCTAAAGCATCAGCTAGGTTGGCGGAGAGAAGCCAGAGGACCATGGAGAAACAATTTCAAAAAGCCCAAAGGCTTGCCCGGCCTCCTTCCCCCGCGTGGAGGCTCCTGCTGGGTCTTTTCTGCCCCCCTTTCATAGGGAAATCTCACCACAATCTCTGGGGAATCCCCAAGTCCTTCCCTAGTGGGAGGGTCAATACAGGAGGTCTGTTCCCTCATAGAGAAGGAGGTTCCCTCACTCCAGGCCCCTAGATCTAGGGACCGTTGCCCAGCTGAGGACCAGGGCCACAATCTCTCCAATGAGATGAGGTAGGTCATTGCCAGCACAATATCTCATGGCATTCCTGAGGGCATGAGACAGCTAGGTCACTGCCTGCCTCACCAGGGCCGTTCTAAGGCCAGGCCTCAGGAGGAGGGTCCCAAAGCCCAGACAGGAAGGTCTACTTCCCAGGCTTCCTCAGGTGTCAGCGAGGAATCCAAGGCAGAGGAGAATGGTCAGGAGGCCCAAGAATTGTCGGAAGATGAAAATCCAGCTCCTCATCCCACCGCCTTTTCTGGATTATTTAAACCTTCCATGTTCAAGGCAATCCTCACTAAGGCCAAGACATCCTCCATCCAGATGGGCCTCCCAGGCCAGGCCAGCAAGGACACCACAGAGCAAGGCAATAAGGAGACCACTGAGTCCCCAGACCCAGGCGCCGGCCTCTTCAAGGAGGCTTCTCCGCCCCAAGAGCTAGTTCCGGCTCCCCAGCTGTTCCTGGATGTTATTCAGCATCAGTGGGCTCAGCCAGGGTCCTTGGCCAATCCAAGTGGGGTCGATAAGAAGTTCTACTCAATGGAGAGCAATATTGAGGATCTCTTAAGCTTCCCCTGGTGGATGATCCCATAGCTGCCCTAACTTCCAACTCTGATCTGCTGGAAGGACTTAAGGCGGAGGATAAAAAAGCGGAGAAGGCCTGTCATAAGACCCATCAGGCCACCGCATGGGCTATGAAGGCCTCTTCCTCCTATTTCAGCAGGGCCTCACTTTTCTGGATCTGTAAATTACAAGCCAAATTATCAGCTAGCGACACTATGTTGCGCCAGGACATCAACAAAATTATTGCTGCAGTCGAATATTCGGCTGACGCTTCACTTAATGCCACCAAATTTTCTTCAAGGATGTTAGCTTCCAATGTAACATCGTGCCGTCTCCTGTGGCTTAGACATTGGCAGGCAGACATGAAGGCAAAGTGGAAGCTCGCTTCCGCTCCCTTCAAAGGGGGGAAGCTCTTCGGAGAGGCCTTGGATTCAGTCTTAATAGAATCCAAGGACAAATGCAAGGTTTTGCCAGCCGTCACCAAGAAGGCTGATCACAAGAACCAGTCTTATTACCACAGGCAGCCTTTTCAGAATGCGGATCCTCCAGTCGCCTCTGGAGGTTTTAACCGTTTCTACTCACGACTGCAGGATCGCACACATGATAGGGCATCGTTTAAGGACAAGAACAGGCAGCGGGGTAACCGCAAATCCTTTTGAGGGGGGTTCTCAAACTGCTCCTTTTGTAGGAATAAGTGACCATCTCCTGTCCCCTTCCATAGGAAGGAGACAGGAGATGGTTGCAGGTGGTGCTCGCCCACAACATAAACTGGCTGGAGCTCAGAGCCGCCAGGCTAGCCCTGCGCCACTTCCATCTGTACTGATGGACAACATCGCCCCAAGGCCTACATCAACCACCAGGGCAGAACTCGATCAAAGGCCCTGATGACGGAGGCAGAAACCCTAGGGTAATGGGCAGAGCGCCACCTCGAGTCATTGAGAGCGGATCACATCTCGGGGGGTGGGGGGGAGGAGAACGTGACAATGGACTGGCTAAGCAGAACAACCATCAGCAACTCGGAATAGCGACTTCATCCATCTCTGTTTCACCAATTGACCCAGAGGTTTGGCCTTCCGATGATAGAACTGTTCGCCAGTCCGAAGAACACACACCTTCCCCGGTTCTTCTCAAGGTTCCAATGTTCCAATGGTTCGCCAACCTTGTCAGCCTGTCAGTGACCAAGCACTGGCGCATACCTCAGGAGCAAACCTCCCTCAGCCAAGGGGCCATTCCGCATCCGGACCCTCAATGGCTCCAATTGGCCATTTGGCACTTGAGGGGGACCTCCTGAGGCAGGACAACTTCTCTGACAAGGTCATCTGCACTATCCAGGCATCCAGACAACCTTCTACAGTGCGGATCTATGATGCAACATGGACTATCTTTTCCTCTTGATGTCAGTCCCATCACATCGATGCCACAGCAGCAACCATTCCACAAATCCTGGATTTCCTCCAGGAGGGGTTGGAAAAGAGCCTTGCCCCCAACACGCTTCAGAGGCAGACAGCTGCCCTAGCCACCATTTTGTCCAGAGATGCTTCTCAACCGCTCAGCAGACACCCAAGAGTCCGCAGTTTCTTAAAGGGGGCTACCAACCTCCGCCCCCGACTGTGCAGCGATACCCTACTTGGGACCTATCGATTGTCCTGCAGACCTTAACATCTGTGCTATTTGAACTGATTCGTTCCATTAGCCTAAGGCATTTGTCATTTAAGACTGCCTTTCTTGTGTCCATCACTTCAGTGCGCAGAATTTCAGAGCTGGCAGCGCTCTCAGTTAGGGAGGACTTTTGTATTATACATTCGGACAGTCATTCTGCGATTGGATCCTGTGTTTATCCCGAAAATTAATACCTTATTCCATAGGACGCAGGAGGTCATTCTCCCTGACTTTTGCCCACACCCCAGTCATCACAGGGAGCGTGTCTGGTACAAATTGGATGTGTGCCGTGCTGTGCGAGTATACAAAAAGAGGACAGCTTCCTTTTGCAAGTCGGAATCGTTCTTCATATCATTCCAGCCCACCTCATTGGGCAGGAAGGTGTCATCTTCCACCATAGGACGTTGGCTGCATGCCTGCATTAAACTAGCTTATGAACATCAAGCTAGGCCTGTTTCTCCTTGTATAGCAGCGTACTCCACGAGGAGCGCTGCGACTATGGCCGCTTGGGCCACACAAGCGCCTATCGAGGAGATCTGCAGGGCAGCTATCTGGTCCTCACTGTCTCCGTTCATTCAAAATTACAGATTGGACTCCTTTGCGGCCGCAGAAAGTTCCTTTGGAAGACGGGTCTTGCAATGGGTCATTGCGACTCCCACTAACCAGGACATTCTTTCTTCACACCCTGGGACTACATAGCTTGGGTATGTCCCATGCTTGGAGACTCCAAGCAGCACTTAGGAGAATGACCGTTGGCTTACCTGAATGGTCATTCTCTAGGCACTGCGGGAGTGTCCAACCACGCCCTGGGATCGTCCGCGGGTGTGTATGTTACCACCTTTGAGGACATAGAACACCTGGTACAACATCCTTCTAGGACTCATCCCTTCATTTTTTTTAAACTGGCCTCTAAAGGGAGCAGGAGGCGTAGTTACACAAACTTTGAACTCAGTCCTTGGGCAGCAAGCTGAAGTTAACCCATGCTTGGACGTTCCCGCAGCACCTAGAGAATGACCATTCAGGTAAGCCAACAATCATTCTGATCGACAAGCTCAGCATCTTAGCCACTGAGCCACCGTGTCCCAATGTAGGTATACATTGGCTTAATCACCTTCTTTATCTTTTTTAGCAGTAAGTTTT